CCCGCTGAAATCCTTCCACCTGCCGAGGCTGCGAACAGAAGTGCTGCAGAGTGGAAAACGTGCTCCTGGATTTTAATGAACAGGAATTAAGGAGTATAATTTAGTGCTGCCAAAATTAATTGCTATGCTCTAATTGCACAGTAGCGTAAAACAGGAAACAGGTACCTGGCTGAACGTGGAACTTGAGTTATTTCTTAATCCAATTACAAAACCTCCAAATCCTGATTCCTGAGCACTGCAATGTCAACCGAGACGGCAGAGAACTGGGAGCAAGTGCGCACAGACAAACTCAGAGTTGACCCTGTGTTCTAACAGAGCTCCACTCCCAAGCTCTAGGAGACCTTGCCTATTTGCAATGAGATCCAAGGGCCTGATGTTTAAACCCATTTCTCCTTTGTTATATTCCCATTAAAAAACCCAACACTGTGTGTCAGCTCTGTAAAACGGGAACCACTGTGAATGAAGTCCATGCAGGCTTCGGGACACAGGAAATGAAGAGGTGTCCCAGGCCTTCAGCCCTCACATCCTGCTCTGCTTTCTGCTTTACTCGGAGCTGGAGAGAAGTATCTTGGATTGCAGCAGCCTGCAGTGCCTAGGCATGGAATGCTCCTTTTCTCTCTACAGATTCAAGCACCTACACACAGAAGTTCGACTGGAGCCAGAAGAATCCAGTCATTCTGAAATAAAAGCCACAGCCAAATCAACACCAACCCTCTCCTACTAGTGTGCCAGCCGGAGGTGACTCAACGGCAGGGCCAAGTTGGCAGCCATAGGTCCCAGATTCCTGGTGACAGTGTACCACACCCGGCATTTCTGCAGATGCACCTTCCTGCGTGGTGGGTACGTGGCACCACTGACAGTGTCTGTGCTCCTAAGGCGGGGAGCTGAGAGGTAAGAAATGTCTAACTGCAAACCACAAAGCTCCTGTCAGCACAACGTCACTGGCAGAGAACGGGCATTCCTTGTCCTACCCATTCGGCTCAACAAACCCCCTGTTGTGCTTTAACCCCCGACTTCCTGCCCTCGGTAATGCAGGAGGAAGCTCAAGAAGGGCGTACTCTAGAGATCGTCTCATACCATTCAGAGTACCACGGAATCAGACAAACATACCTACTACCCTCCTCCAGCAGTGCAATAGCAATCCGGATCCGATTCCTTAGGAAGATCAGCATCAGTATGATTATGACCTCAACAACACAAAGTATTACCACTGTAAACAAACAAACAAACACAAATTAGACTTATCAAGAATCGAACCAATCTGCTGCCTCACATTGCCACAGCAGGACCAGTCTCCTTCAGGTCCCACCAAGGAGTTTTGTGGAGGGAGAGGAAGCCAGAAGGGAGAGTAGCCCTAAGCCTTGGCTCATCTGGAGGTCTGCAAAGGGACATGGGAATTGGCCTCAGGTCCCACCGCTGAGCTATGGCCTGGGATCCAGACCCAGACAGTCACAGATGATGCTATTCTCAGCCACTGAACTGCAGGTGGCTAGTGGCCATGTGCAGGGGAGGAGCTGTAGCAAGGCAGCGACAGACTCTCCCGAGTATCAATTAACAGATGCCAAGTTCAAAGGGCACTTACTAAACGCCAGCCACGTTTGCCTCAGCTGCAGGTACACCCTGAAGTCTGTCTGGAATCCAATATCATAAACAGTGAGGTCAGATCCAGGTATTCCTTTAAGATGATCATACTCCCAGTAACAATGCCAGATGCCTTTTAAAACACAACCGGTATAAAATCAGTGGTTCTGCAGAGCGCAAAGACAAGGTTTACAAATTCCACAAGCCACGTGTTTTGTCCTCAGTGTGTCAGGTAAGGAGAGCCCAAAGTGCGTTACTGCGAGGCCTGTGCTGTAGCGCCACGTACACGGAGAAGAAACACCTCCGCAAGTACCGACCAAGCATACTGTGGGCAGGTAAGTCAGGTTTACTCTATGTGGTGCTACATACCAGCACAGCTGGATGCCTCCCACATTCTTCTGCCATTTCTGGCCTTCTCACTTAACTGTGTCTAAAACTGGGCAGTAATTCTCCCAAGTGTACCATTTAATTGACATAACTACTGATTTTCCTTGCCACGACTTAAGCAAAAAGGAAAAATAGCCTCAGAGGTGAGACGGTTACACCTACCATAACCTATAATTCCAATCACACCAAAGATGAAAATCCAGAAGAGAACCCCAGCCGTGAACCTCAGTAACACAAGGAAGAGCAGACTCACAATCATCGCAATGAACAACCCGCTAGAAAGACAAGAAACAGAGACACAGGGAAAAAAGGTGTGAGACTCCACTTGCTGCAGGCCTGATGGTCCAACCGGGGCTCACTCCGTCTCACACAAGAGAAGGATTTGCAAAAATGTATTTCGAAACCTCCCTTACAAAATCCACCCTCCTGGCCATGACCCGCTCTTGGAAAGAAACGCTGGCATGGGATGACCTCACTGGGCAGAGCCAGCAGTGCCTGCACACTTGGCTTGGCGGGACGAGTCCAATGCCTGGTTGGCCAGTTCCACCCGTGGGACAACTCACCGCTCGTGTTCAGGCCACGGTCTGGCCTAGAGCACAGAAAGTTCACCTGGGGGAGCAGCTGGGGGTGGGGGGGTTTTATGTCCCACGTTACAAATCCCCCCTGCACAGAAATTGGGTCAGTGAAGCAACATTCTCAGAGCTCTCCTGGAAAAGCAGAAATACCTTTAGGGGTAACCCCTGACTCTCCCTACCCAACTGAGAGGAAACGATCGGGGCACTGTGATACATAAGCAGAAACTGTTAAGAGCTACCCAGGGGGCCTCTCGGAGAGGCACCTGCTGACTGTCCTCTCCATCACGTCTGCGTAAGGAAATGCTTGTTTGCATTTTACTCCCAGAAAGCAAGTCCAAAAGGAAAAAATGGCGGCCAGAGGCCTTTCTACTGAGCAAGGCCTTGGGAAGCAGCGTGACTAAAGCAGCGCAAAGAACAATCCCACCCACCAACCAGCCCAGATGCTCCGCAGAACATTCCGTTTCTCAGAATTGTCAGCAGGTGTTGGAGGAGAATTTTGTGTTAGCACAGACTCAAAACAGGCGAACGCCTCTTCTTGCCTGTGCTCAGTGTTCTCTTCGGAACATTCCTGACTTATTTAGCCGTTACCGAAGACAAGAAATGAGTCGGCCTGACCAAAACCAATCAAACCCAAGTATTTTGGACAAACTGAGCCAGATGGGCAGAGGGACAACAAAAAGACCATCAATTCTTTTAGTTAAACCTTTGTAAACTGGTTACACTAAGTAAGTCGTAAGTCCTAGACTTTCCTAGCAGGGAGCATTTTCCCCGTTCTGACTGACCTGTTTGAAACTGAGACTATTCCTCAAGGAGAGTTGCCGTTCTGGAGCCTACGACTCCACTCCTGGAAGCAGGAAGTTACCTTTACAGACACAGGAGTCCCAGTAACATCAACACTGAGTAACAACTGGGGTAAACAGACTGGTTCCCTTAAACCGGGGCTTGAACACTGCCGTTGGTTTGGGGACGCGGGGAAGACTGGAGCAATTTCAGATTTGATTTTTAATCCAGCCTCCTTTCACCATCAGCCCTTCACTGTCCCCACCCAAACTCGGGCAGTTAAATATACTCTTCCAGAAATCATGTGGTATGTGCTATCAGTGAAAAGTGTGAAGAAAACTCTCCTACTACTTGAAAAACAGCAACAATTCCTTATACAAACATCGTATTTAAAATGTGAAACTGGCTTCAATATTTAGAATTTCTGTCAAAGGGAATGGCCGTTCTCTCCAGACTCCCTGCTCAGTGCCATCTGCTTGGAATGTGGCTGCACCACGAGCCTCTTCTCAGTGCAAGATCTCGAGAGAATGGAGCTTGAACACCCGCAAGTTTCCTGCCCAAGTGCTGCGAGCAGGGTGTCAGGCCGTGGGAAAGCTGTCCTCCCGCCGGAATGAACACCTTCAGGAGCTGCCAACTTACGTTTCTGAACTGACTCATTCTACATACTCAGGTTTTCATCTGAAGTTCATGTATTTATTGCTGTGGATTTGCATTTAGGCTTGATTAATGTGTGCTTAATACGTGTGCTCTATATGCTGTCACCTGGCAGAGACTCCTGCTCCTGCTTAAAGTGATCAACTCCCTGGCGCACCAAACCCCATGTTAATGGGCGAAGAACGCACACATACGTACGCACGGACCTCAGCAAAGTAGCTGCTGCTTCCGTGTCAGTGCTGGGGTTTTACCCATCGGGCATGACTGGGTATTAACTGCACAATCAAGTTAATTCCATTTAATACATTTTTTTCTTGACGTTCCTTTACCTACTGGACTGGATTTACATTGGATTTACGGACTATAATGGATTTACCTTATATTGCCAGTATGAATGCAGAATCATTGGGTTTCTATCTATATCGGTGACACTTGGCAGCTGCAGTTGGTTTGAGAGTCTCTTACTTAAGATTTTTCAGTTTCGGAACTACCACGCAGATGTGTCCTGCACCAGCACCTCCTGCTTTGCTGCCCAGTAGGATATCAGAAAGCCACTCCAGATGCAGGGACGCTCGGTGTACAAATGCTGTGCTATCTCCATCTCGTGTACACAACCCCAAGAACAGTGTGGCCATGTGAGGAAAGGAAGTTACAGTTGCTCCTTGAGTTTAAAAGCACCATTGGTAACACACACGAGAGCTGTGTTCTAATCCCCTCCAAAGTGAGTTTGAAAAAAGTAAAAACAAAAATCTTACATTAAAATCCAGTACCAAGAAATGGCATAGTCTTCAAAAATCTTCATTCCGACTGATCTTGCATCCAGGACATTATTGATGCCACTGAGAAATAAGAAATCAAGGAAAGGTTGTTTTGGGTAGAAAAGCAGAATTTGTTTAAAGAGCAAATAGACTCAGTGAAAGAATCTGAAACCTCTGCTAGTGACACGTGCATCGCTACACTCCAGGTCCAGGTCTGCAACCAACACCAGTCCCAGTTACACCAAAGGAAAAACCTGTGTCAAAATGTCCAGAAGGCTCCTGAAAGATTTATCAGGAATGGCCGCCAGGCACAACTGCTTATTACGTCACGGCAGAGGCATGTGCTCTGCCTCGTGCCAGGCCCCAGCGCTGGCACTCCAGAATTGCTAATGGCAGAGGGGCAGAAGGAGCTGAGTGAATAAAAGGGTGACTTTGTGGAACTGTTCTGCCCTGCTGGCCCATACCGATGCTTTTCTAAGAGGAAATGACGCAGCTGCAGATGCCAGAAGAAGGAACGCAATGAAGTGCGGGTGCTCCCAGTGCTGGCAGGTGCTGGAGTGCGGTGCCTTGGGTTGAGGGAGAAGAAAAGATCCCCCGTGCTCAGACAGGCTGCAGGCCGACAGCCGCTGAAACCATGAGGCTGCCGCAGCAGGTTTCCCTCATCCTGTCGATGCCCAGGATGGAGAGGCTTGCTGTCCCTCCGCAAAGGAGGTGTTGCCATGTGTCAGAGCCCAGAACATCGCTTCTTCACCTTCAGACCTGTACCAAGCCCAGGAGCACCCTGACAAGGCGAGATGCCCAACCACTAGGCCAGGCCATGTTAATGGAAGGGCCATCATAGGAGGGAAGAGCCGAGGCCATTACTGGCTGGCCTGAGTCCTGCAGCACGAGGATTTCATTTTGAACCTCTTTTAGCTTGCTTTATTTCTACTTTTTGCAGGGAAAATCAACAAGACTGATTTAAAAACTGACAGTCACTCTGAGACAATCAGACTAAAACTTTGGGCTCCGTGCTCGTCTCTGCACACCACAGTGCTGGTTTTCCTTCCTGGAACTCTGCACATTTACGAGCAAGTCTTGCCTGGGTACCCTCAGCCCCTTGCTGTGACAGATTCTGACTGTTTTTTCAATTCCTGAATTATTTCACAATCTCAGAATCCAACAAACAAGCACTTAAGACGAGCCAAACTTACTTTGCAGCTTCCCTGAGATCAGTTACATTTCTTGTTTTCCCTCTTCCATCTTTGAACGTCGTCTGATTTGCCACGGTTAGCACACCGTTCTTCGTGGAGAAGTCGGGGAAGCATCTCTTAAGAACTACTCAAAACACCAAAACAAAGCATGTGTGTTACACCTCATGCCAAGCGCCACGTTCACCGCTTGTGTTTTGTAACGTATTTAAATCATTTCAGAGTCACAGTCAATTGATTTCCGAGTGATCAGCTAACGATACGCTGACTTTGACAAACCCTGGAAGAGTTGTTACGTTCCAGGTTATGATTTGTATGCTCGGGAACTTTTTCTCCAAGCTCAGGCATGGTGATGCCACAGCTTTCCACCGGAGATTCTAGTGCTATGGAGTAACAACTGCAGTATCTGCAGCAGTTTAAGAATTTGTAATACATGTGGAACTCACTCTCTGCCAGTATCTAGGCAGCTCACCAGAACTGCAGCTTCTCACGTACGTCATTTCACGGTAGCAATCAAACCAGCCCCAGGGACAGACTCAATGTGACCGCTCACGAACGATATGAGCACCCAAACCGACACGCAACAGCACGTGACGGTTCCTCATGTGCCAGATGAACTGCAGTACCAGCACTACCACCAGATATTCTTGGAGAAAAAGCAGTGGAAAAGAGGCGAGAAACTACTGGTTAGACAGAGGGAGGTGGAGAGCATAGAAGAGAGAAAAGGAGAGACGTTTCCATACTCATCTATGTTGCCCTGCCCTGGTTTTCATTCCAAAGGGGAGAGCAGGTCAGTCCCACACAGCTCAACTCCTAAGTTATCTAGTAATTCTATGCTTCCCCTTCAGGCTCCAGTAAAAACTGCTGCCAGGGCTCAATATTCAGGGTAGAGTATCTTCCCCAACCACTATTCTGAGAAAGTGATTAAGTAGCACATCTCTTTTCCTCCCCAGTAATCTCTGCCCCTTGTTGCAGTCTAAAAGAAGACAATAGCTTCTCACAAACTATTTTGTCTTTTGGGTTAGTCCATCAGTTTTCATACACATTGTTAATATTTTCAAAACTGAACCCATATTCTGTCTTTTTGATAACCTGTTCCTGATTTCCATGGCGCCTGTTTTAAAGCATGGAAACCAGCAATTTCTCATTTGCAGGAGTTTCTGGGTCCATGGCAGTCACTCCTGGTACTGCAATCCTGCAGCTAGATGAGCTCAGGGACCTGTAGTGATCTGCCCAGCAACACCTGCTGACCATGGTGACAAACGCGGTTTTTGGCCCCTCACCTCTCCAGACGCCCTGCGCAGCCAGCCCTGTCGCTGGAAAGCTGCAGGCAGCTGGGCTCAGGTATCAGCCAAGCTCCAACGGCATTTTCTGGGTGCCAGAGGGGCTGCTTGCTCACGCGTTCTGGAAGGTGCAGACTGAGCTGTCAAGCTCGTGTTATTAGTGACGACTCAAAAGCTGGAGAGAGCTCAGCTAGACTCAGTGACACACTGAACATTCACAGGTGGCACTTGCAAAAAACAGTAAAGCTTTGTGCATTCAACCTGGTTAAAATGGAATGGGTGTCCCTGTCCGGTAACAGAGAGCTCCTTGCGACCTCGCCAGGGAACACGTCTCAGACTGGAGTTGTGCTTTACTGTGAATGCTAACAGCCTGCTGAGAGGTGTGTAAAAAGTAGAACCACTCACACGGCCTGCTCGGAACGATCATCGAAGGACAATCTTCATCGCGTAGCACTTGAGCAACGGACTAAAAAGGGGAAAAATAGGCATGCTGAATACATAGCAGAATAAGTACGTGGTTTTCGCTTCTCACCCCGTCTGAGAACATGCCCCAAACTGGGCTTCGTAGCCTCCTCCCCAGACTCGACCGGTGGAGCTGCAGGGAACATTCATGATGTAAGTCAGAATCCAAAACTGTCACTCTGATTTGCAGACAGACTGTTCTTCCTTTTCTAGTCCCAAAAAAGAAAAGACCTGTTCCCTCTGGGGCAGCAGGTAAGCCAACAGTGATCCAGCAATTGCCCCTTGCCTCCCCTGTGCCTTTTCTCTTAGGGAAGAGTAAGAATTTAACACAATTACTAGAGCTGACTAGTAAGGTGTTTAAAGACGGGCAAAACAACACAGTAAGTCTGAGAACAGAGTCAGCTACGGGAGAGACTGCTTCTCCTACTACCCTACTGGAGTGGCTAGAGATGACTTGGGAACCTTAAGAACTGGTCTGAGGTAAAGGATGCTGCTTGCCACAGTATTGCAACTCCACAGGGAGCCGCAGCCAAGCTTTAAGCCAACTGAAGAGTGGGGGATTTGGTGTGGGGTCAAACCATAGCCACGGGACAACTTCTCACATGGTGAAATCAGAGTAATTCAAAGCTTTGAGGTGGCTCAAGTAAAATCATGCCCATTTCATGATGCCTGAAGGAACCTGTGTGCCATCCCCTACTGCCACACACACCTTGCGAGGGTTGTTAAAGCCAGGTTTGCAGAACTGCCTGAAGTAATTCCACTGGTCCGGTCTATATCTGTAGGAAGCCTGAACATCGATGTAGGTTGCAAATCTGTCTGGGCACTTTGAGACACAGAGCTGGAAGAAAGGAAAAAAGGAGGGTCAAGACACAGCACAGTGGGAAGGGCAGGGCAAGGCAGTGCGACTACAGAGCAAGGAAAAGGCCCCCTGAGTGCGCTGGCTTAGAGCACTGCCTTCAGCAACATTTGCTGCAGTGCTCAGAAAGGGACACGTGCTTTCCTTGTGAGTCCCTCGATGAATACTTCGAAAGTTCTTTGATGGAATACACTTCCAAAGTACCTCCTCACATCAAGCCATGTATGATCGCGGTGCGACAGTAGCTATTCCCACAGGACACACCTCATTGCCTTCTGTTGCATTTAATAAGGAGAAGATTTTGGGAAAAGATCTTGTACTAATCCTTAGAGCAAGGCAGACCCTGCAAGAGGGTCGTTCTCGAGGGGCACCACAGTCCTACGGACTATCCACAGGCCAAGAAATGAGGGAAGAAGAAGACCCTGCCTACAGCTCACTGGGGGGATTACCAAAAAACCTGCCTTCAGCATTCTCACAAACCCCAGAGGACTAACCACCTGCAGTAGCAAACAGCGCTCAAAACCATTCTCAGTTCTGGAGATGCTTAAGCTTGAAAACAACCAAAGCTATGCTGCTCCCCCTGACTCTCCTTCAGCAAGTGTTTCGCCTTACTTCATTCACAGACGCTGCCAACTAGACCAGCACTGGTCAAATCCCACACGATGAGCTCAGGATCTCGGAACAGGCTCAACTGTTCCCGTAACAGAGCCTAAAGCTGCAGGGCAACGGTGTTGGTGTCTGCACGGGCACATTTCCTGCAGCAAATCTGCTGCCGACAGGGTTCACATTCTGACAGTAACTGGTCAGGGTTAAGATGGGAATCTCCCTTGCTGGAGATTGCCGTCTCTTCAGCTGTGTCAAACAGCCCCTACAGTCATGCTAACTGACAGGCCAGAAACACCTACCAAGGACAGGGATCAGAGGAAGGGCAGCTGGAATGGGAAACATCATAAAAGGATGGTCAAATACACAGACAACGAACATTTGTAATCAGTAAATCGGTTACCATCTAGCAACCCTCACCCAAATTACTCCTGGACTTCACTGAGTATTGCCAAGGTGGCAGAGATACACCCTGTCACCTGCAGTCTAATCTCATCCTACAACCCCTTTGGTGGCAAAGCTGGGGCAGAGCAGCCCCCGCACCCAATTCCTCTGACCTACGGCATGCCAAAAGCTGTTGTGGCGCGGGATGAACTGATGTCACTGGTTGTGCAACTGTTCAACAGACCAGGTCAGTAGAACGGCTTCGTGTGAAAAAGAGGCAGGGGACAAATGGCACCCACAGGCTCAGTCACAGGCTTTATCTCCCGCCTCACGAGAAGCTGCAGCCCATCTGAGGAGCACAGATTGTGGCAAAAGGCAAAAACAAGTTTTCAAGATCTTCACTTTTGAAAGGGCCACGGGCTGCAACCACAGCGATGCTCCTGTCACCGCAGACATGCACGTTTTTCTGAACATGTCTGGTGTGGAAAACCCTAGGCATCAACCAACATTATTTTCTGCATGCACTGATTCCTACTGGATGGTTGCCTGTGATCGACTCCCAGGTAACAAATTTCTGTAGTCAGCTACACAGACGACTTTTTTTTTTTGGTCAACTCTTACCCAAAACACACACTGTTGTGCCTTTTTATTTATTTTTTCTGGCTGTCACTGGCGACAGAGGCCGTGTGCTACTCAGCACCTGTGGAGCATAGCCTATCTTGAAGGACATGAACAGCATTTTTAAACCCAAACGTATCCCTAGTTCTTACGCATGGCAACTGGGGGCAGGGAGCAGTCTGTCGCCGTGTTTCACTCACCTGGGTCGTAGGGCACTGCAGGTTTATTAACACCACGGGGCTGGCACACTTCAGAATATTGAAGTAAAACAAAATAGTCTTGTTCCTGTGGAAGTGAATATGAGCTCATTAATGTCAGAGACGTGGGTGCTTTTACATCTTCCCATCCAGGAGTTTCCAGCGTACACTGACACTTAAATTCTATCACTGCGATGGGTCATACTGCAAACACAAGACAAAAACCAGCCCCCAAGCAGACCCTAAACATTCTGTGCCAAGACACCTGGGAAACGATACGGATTTCTTCTAAAGATTGCTAGTTTTGACAAGCTTTTCCCCCAGCGAGGTTTAAGCTGCAACAACCCCAGGACTGTTCCAGGTATCTGCAGTCCTGCCGCTAAGAGGTGGGGTCTGTGAAATACCGCTGCAAAACCACTGCGGTCCCTCTGCCCGCACGGGACACGCCGCGTAGGTGCTGCTCGCACCAGCTCTCCCAGCAAACGCCCCCCTGGAGAAGCTGCCCGTTTCCTGTCCATCAGCAGGTGGCACCAAAACCAATGAAAAGCTGTTCACGTTGGCAAACGAAAGCCTCTGGCCGGGAGACAGAACGGTAATGCTAATGATGCCGACAGGTAAGGGGCAGCCTAAGGGGTTTGCACCCAGGACCCACACACTCATCAGTTTCTGGGACCTCGAGGAAGCTGCCACCTCAGTCTGGATTTACTGCAAACTGCGTACCCCAGGATCTCCAGATTTAAACACCCACGTGAAGACACCAAAGTACGGCGACAGTCTGCCAGCACAGAGCCCCAGTGAGGATGGTGTGGCCGGCACACAAGACGAGTCTTTGGCCAGCCACGCCAGCATCCCCGTATGGAACATGGTGCCCATGGCCCTCCTGGCCCTATCCCTGATGTGCCAGGTTAGCCTCGTTCACAGACGTGCAAGAGAACTGTGAGCAGTGTCTGGGCCAGCACTGACCCCCCCCGGCAATGAAGCACAGAGGGAGCTCTGCCCTGGGAGCAGGATGACCACTGAAGGCCCTTGGCATACCAAGGCTGCGGCCCTTCTGCCTGCGGACTTGACATAAGTCCTGCTCTGCATCCCTCCGCTGTACCCCCAGGCCAGGGCATACCCTCTGATCGTCCACGTGGCTCCCACCCACTGCTGCATCCGGCTGTGCCTCCAAGGCCGTTACGCAGCATCACTGCCCATCTGAGCTCCCTCAAACTGGGATCAGCCCAACCGTGTGGCACTTCACCAGGTGACGCTGTTTTCACTGCGGCACCTTCCCCTGGGCACGGCTAACAAACCATGCACCCTGGCAGAAACAGTTCCCGCCCGTTAGCTGTTACTTCTTCAAAGCAACAGAACAAAAGTTTGGACTGAAACGCCCTCGTTCTTCAATAGTTCGACGTTTATAATCCGGGAGCTGCTCAAAGTCATTAACAAAATTGTTTCCCTGTGCCTCAGCCCCCCTGACCCTGGCAGCAGCAAGGAAAGGTTAAACGGCCACGTAACTCACGACCACAGCCACCACGAAGCGGGTCTGTATCCTTCCTGGTGACCCTGTGTTGTACTCCATGACGACACTGTGCTCCGGAGAAGGCACACAAGCCTAGGGCTTACATGGAATTAACGGATGGATTACAGGGAGACACAAGGAGGCCCAGGAGAGGCTCGCGTGACAGCACACGGCAGAACAGACTCGACTGCGCTGGATTCCCTGGCATTCAGAGGGGTTTCCGCATGAGCTAAGTGCAGGCTTGGCTCTCGGCTCCTCACTTCCACTCCTCAGGGGGATTGCTGGGAATGCATGTTCCAAGCACAAGATTCTAAATAGACACTGATTCCTTCCCAAGGACAAAGGCTTAGACTAAGCTCTGGGGACTTTGGCAGCCCACAGCCCCGGGTTCGCCCTTCGCACTGCCTCCGTCCTGGACATCTGAAAAACCGGACATGGGGTCAGCAAAGGCCTGACAGGCTCATCCCACACCTCCTCTCTTTTCGGGACACCAGCGGGACTTGTTGAGGGGCCTCCTGGCCTAAAGCCATAAACACCCCTGCTTTCCCGGTAAGTTGGATTGTGTGTCTTGGCTTCTGTTTTTAGAAGAAACTCCTCAAGGCAGCAAACAAGTGCCGAAGCACAGTTGCAGCCGCTGTTCAATTCTGCAGCGACCGTACGCATGCAGGAAGGTTTGCGAATACAAACTGGAAATGACACTGTAAGGAGTAACTCCATGGAGACTTAAGTTACATAGAGAGAGGGAACGGAAGTGGATGGGGAGCAGTGGAGAGAAGCACCTGACTAGATGCACACAACACGTGGATGCTGTGCCAGACACCCAAACCCAGGGGCCCACTGCTTCCTACAGACCAAAGCAGGGGCAAGGAGGGAGGGGAGCACACACCCCACCAAACTGTTCCTCTTCAGGAAGCTGGACGCTCCAGCAACTGCTGCGCAGAATCTGCGTTGGGGTGGAACAGGTCGTCTTGCCTATCCAGACCTTCGTAAAGCCTTTGATACCCAAATCCCGAGAGGAAATATGGTCCTAGGTCTA